TTTGGGATGACATATTAGCTTGGATATCCAAATCTCTCCCCAGAACTTTGGGAAGTTCTTGGCTATTATTTCTTTGTAAGCTTCCTATTCCATCCTCCCTCTCTTTTCCGCCTAGGACTCCAAATGTACACACATTGCTTCTCTAATAGTGTTCCATATGTCCCACAGGCTTTATTCCTTCTCATTTATTTTTCCTCTTTGCTCTTCTGATTGGGTAATTTCAACTGATCTGTCTTCTAGCTCACTGATCTTTTTTTCCTGTTTAGTCAAGTCTGCTGTTGAAGCCCTCTGTTGAATTGTTCAGTTCAGTTTTTTAATTGTTTCTTATGCTTTTTATCTCTTTGTTGAACTTTTCATCTTGTTCTTGTATTGTTTTGCTGATGTCATTAAATTATTTTTCTGGGTTCTCCATAGCTCTCTAAACATCTTTGGAACATTTTTTTGAGTTCTTTGCCAGGCAATTCCTGGATCTCCATTTTGGGGGGGCCAGTTATTGGAATTTTACTGTATTCTTTTGGTGAGACATATTTCCCTGATTCTTCATGATCCTTGTAGCCTTGTGTCTGCACCTACAGACTTTATGGACTGACTTCAGTAAGGGAAAATTTTTGCCTGTAGGTGGAGGCATGTTGGAACATGCTGTGTCCCCAGGGGTATAGCGCACAAATGCAGGGGCTTGTGGTAGCTAATAAGTGATAAAACCAGGAGTCAAGTATTCTAAAACTCATTATATCTCTAATCCACTCCAGACTAGCTCCTCCTCCCACAGCTTTATATTGCCTGGCAACCCATCCATCCAGTCTCCAAGCCAGAAATCTGCTTACCCTCACCTCCACATCAACCAATCACAAGTCTAGAGAGCCTCTTGCCTTAATTTCTTTTCTATCTCTATGTCCTGTTCAGGGTCTCCTCATTTCTTGGAAAACAGAATGACTCTGACATCACCTCCTGCAATCCATCCTAATGTGGTTGGCAGAGAGAATTTTCTAGAATATTAAATAGGTATTTGACCTGTCATTGCTGTACTAAAAACCTTCAATAACTCAGCATGTCTTTAGGATAAAGTTTAAAATTTAGCATATGAGATGAAATCCCCTGAATCCTGAATAGTCATGCCATTTTGTCTGTCTGGAATGGTTAGCTTTCATCTCTCCATCTAGCTAACTGAACATCATCCTTGAAAATTTAACTTGTTGAAAATTTATATCCACACCAAACCAGCACACAGATGTTTATAGCAGCTTTATTCATAATTGCCCAAACTTGGAAGCAAACAAAATGTCCTTCAGTAGGTGAATGGATAAACAAACTATGGTACATCCAGAAAATGGACTATCAACCAGTGATAAATAGAAGTGCGCAATCAAACCATGAAAAGATATGGAGGAACCTTACCTGCATAGTATTAAGTGAAAGAAGCCAATCTGAAAAGGCTAAATACTGTGTGATTCCAACCATATGACATTATGGAAAAGGCAAAACTATGGAGACAATAAAATGGTCAGTGATTGCCAGGGTCTGGGGTAAGGAGGGAAGGGATGAATAGGCTGAGACAGAAGATTCTGAGAGCAGTGAGATCTGTATGGTACTATAACGGTGGATACATGGCATTACACATTTGTCCAAACCCATCGAGTGCACAACGCTGAGTGAACATAAGGTAAAATGTGGACTTTACATTTGTATACAAAGTGTAACAAATGTACCTTCCTGGTGTTGATAATGGGGAAGGCTATGCTTGTGTGAGGGCAGAGGTTATATGGCAAATCTCCCTTCAATTTTGCCGTGAACCTAAAGTTGCTCTAAAAACATTGTCTTTAAAAACAAAAACAAAAAAACAGTTGAACTTATGCACCTTGTATCAGAAGTCCGTATTAGATGCCCCTCTTCTGGGCTTCCTTAGTTAGGATCTCCCATCATGACATTTATTCTTTACACAACAATTGATTCACCTGCTTCCCCCACTGAATATAAGCATCTTGAAGGTAGATTCTGTGTCTTACTGGTCTTTAATTTCCCCTGCAGGTGTTTAATACATGTTTTCTGGATAAAACACTTTAAAAAAATATGCCTCCACAGAAATGGGACTCCTAAGTCTAAGAAGAAGAGGATCAGTAATCTCTTCAAGCAATGAGGAGACAATGACTATAATTTCAAATTTAAACACCTCGTTCATTTTAATTGAAAAGTTCCTTAATCATTATTTTCATCATTATTTAAATTATGTTCACTGTCATAACTGAAAAAAATGATATATCACTTCAGTGATAACAGGTTCATTATATCAAAACATTGAATCTGAAGTCGCTAAGTGAGGGAAAGGTCACTTAATGCCTAGTATGGACTAATCCTTAAGGGAGATTCAAAGAATGTGACCTTTCTATACTCTGGACCCCCAAGTGTATCATCTGCAGAGATGAAATATACTATACATCAGTCTATTGTGGCATCAAGAAAATCACTCCAATGAAATTACTGTGGAATTTCCTTGTCTTGGGATAACTCTTTAAAGTTTTTGCAATATTATTGTAATTCAGGAGTAGGTCATCTCCTGAATACAGCTAGTAAGAGTTAGTTTCACACAATGGTCCATTATTCATGGGCAGTCTTTGTCAACATATGCTTCCTATAGCGATTGGTTAAAACTAGGATATACTAGTAGCTGTTGGCTTCATCAGGGCTAGAATAATAATCTACAATCGCAAAGTGCTTTAGGTTTAAAAGCTCTTTCACACCTACCAAGGTGGAGATATTGTCAAAGGTCAGACGTCTTGGCAAGTTGTCAGTGGTTTCATAATGTTGCATTTGTTTGCATGTATATGGGTGTGTGGGGTGGAGTGAGCATTGATGAAAAACACACTTCTACCACCTATGCCCTAGTAGTTCTTTTCCATTCACTCAATCTACAAATATACTTTAGTTAGCTATTTACTGAGTACCCATTAAGTACCAGTCACCATGCTAAATGTTAGGGATATCATTTTTTTAAATATATTTTTTTATTGATTTTTTACAGAGAGGAAGGGAGAGGGATAAAGAGTTAGAAACATCGATGAGAGAGAGACATCGGTCAGCTGCCTCCTGCACACTCCCCACTGGGGATGTGTCTGCAACCAAGGTACATGCCCTTGACCAGAATCGAACCTGGGACCCTTGAGTCCACAGGCCGACGCTCTATCCACTGATCCAAACTGGTTAGGGCAGGGATATCATTTTAACAACTATAACGGACCCCATTTTATTTATTTTTTTTGACATTTTCTCTTTTTTTATTGCTTAAAGTATTACAAAGAGTATTACATATGTCTCCTTTTTTCCCCCTTGACAATCCCCCAGCCTCCCCTACCCGCCAGTGTCTTATGTCCATTGATTATGCTTATATGCATGCATACAAGACCTTCTGTTGATCTCTTACCCGCCCCCTCCCGCCCCCCAACTCCTCCCAGCCTTCCGGCTGTAGTTTGACAGTCTGTTGGAGGCTGCTCTGCTTCTGTATCTATTTTTGTTCATCAGTTTATAATGGTCCTTATTATCCATAAATGAGTGAGATCATGTGGTATTTTTCTTTCATTGATTGGCTTATTTCACTTAGCATAATGCTCTCCAATTCCATCCATACCTATATACAATAAATCCTGCAGAACCCCAAATGTCTTCCTTGAGTTGCCCAAAATATTTAACTCATAAATGGACAACTCTCAGGATTAGGTAAATAGGGGGAAAAATGCAAGTTGAACTCTTATCAAGAGAAGGGTGTTTAATTTTATCATTTACCATAATATCAATCTTGAATCTTTAACCTTTTTTCCTTTAACTCTAACTGAGGACCCTCCGGGCCTCCAGTTATCGAAATAGGTTCTCATATCTATGCCCCGGATAGAATGCACTGTAAATTCTTGAACGTGGAGAATCTGCGCTCAGTGGTTGCCTGTGGGGCCGGGAACTAGATTAGGACACAGAGGGGCGAGAAGCAGACTTTTCACTGTATATACATTTTGGTAGTTTCACTTTCATCCTGTGTATATGCGCATTCTCTGGCCCTGGGAAGCCAGCAGGTGCAGCTGCAGACCTTCGGGCAACCACGAGTTTCGCGCCCGCGCCCACGCCCCCTCACGGTGCCCTTGGCCTCGGGTGCGCGCGTGGGTGAGTGGGGCGGGGG